GTGGCTCAGTGGCTAAGACGCTGAGCTTGTCGATCAAAAGGTCGGTAGTTCAGCGGTTCCTAGTGCTGCATAACGGGGTGAGCTCCCATTACTTGTCCCAGCTTCTGCCAACCTAGCAGTTTGAAAGCACATAAAAAATGCAAGTAGAAAAATACGGACTACCTTTGGTGGGAAGGTAACAGCGTTCTGTGCAACTTTGGCATTGAGTCATGCCGGCCACATGACCACGGAGACGTCTTCGGACAGCGCTGGCTCTTTGGCTTTGAAACAGAGATGAGCACCGCCCCCTAGAGTCGGGAACGACTAGCACATATGTGCGAGCGGAATCTTTACCTATCACTGAAGATCATTCTTTCATCTAATACCCCATTATGTATGCTGCTAAAGATCTTGATCAGAAATATTTCCTATTAAATGGAAAGCCAATAGATAATGGCCATTATTTTAAATGGAACTTGTAACCTACAAATATGAGTTCCACCTCTCAACCATGGTCTTTTTCTCATACTACTATGATATATATGTCTGGAAACATTTGATTCTGTGATGCAGTCCTATATGGCCCTACACATGAATTCCATAATATCTAAGGGATTTTGTACAATTGATACAACGCACAAGAAGCAGAAGGCTATTTCTGCATCCTAATTCCAAATAAAGATAACATTTTCTGAATGTGACTTAATGACTTAAACTTAATTAACATTAAATTCCGCACATGGCTTATAGCTGAAAATACACAAAACAACAATTTAATCCATCAACTTGGATCCAGGACATAGGCAGCAAATCATCAGTCTAAATGCAAATCGCAATTATTTTCTTGATTAAATTCCCTTATTGGTCCCTTACTGGTCCCTTATTGTTGAACCAAAAAAGGACTACATTTTACGAAAAGCTACAGCTTAGCAATTAATTTTATGGTTTCTTCTCTGAACGTCAGAGCTTGGGTTACTAAATGTCTTCAGTTACTGGGTCTTATACATAAAGAATGTAAATATCTGGGTTTGGAAAAGTGACGTAATGGAGTCACTGGTATGGAATGCCTAAGCAGGGGGTTGGACTATAAGACCTCCAAGGTCCCTTCCAACTCTGCTGTTCTGTTCTATTCTATTCTATTCTATTCTATTCTATTCTATTCTATTCTATTCTATTCTATTCTACTCTACTCTACTCTACTCTACTCTTACGCTATTCTACTCTATTCTACTCTACTCTATTCTACTCTATTCTACTCTATTCTACTCTACTCTACTCTATTCTATTCTATTCTATTCTATTCTTCTATTCTACTCTACTCTACTCTACTCTACTCAACTCTACTATTCTATTCTATTCTATTCTATTCTATTCTATTCTACTCTACTCTACTCTATTCTACTCTACTCTAGTCTACGCTATTCTATTCTATTCTACTCTACTCTATTCTACTCTATTCTACTCTACTCTACTCTACTCTATTCTATTCTACTCTACTCTACTCTATTCTATTCTATTCTATTCTATTCTTCTATTCTACTCTACTCTACTCTACTCTACTCAACTATACTCTACTCTACTCTTCTATTCTATTCTATTCTATTCTATTCTATTCTATTCTATTCTATTCTATTCTATCTTTCCAATCTACCAGTTGTCTGTTGAAAATGGTGTTACAGCAAAGAGCAGTAAGCTTGGTAATTTCTGTTTACAAATCAAATTGAATCTGGTTTTCTTTCGTCTATTCTCAGGATGTGATTATCTACAGATGGCCCTCAACTTACAATAGTTTATTTAGTGACCATTCAAGGTTACAATGGCGCTGAAAAAAGGGACTTATGACCGTTTTTCACAATAGCAACCGTTGTAGCATCCCCATGGTCACACGATCAAAATCCGGACGCTTGGCAACTGAGTCATATTTATGAGGGTGGCAGAGTTCTGGGATCACGTGATCCCCTTTTGTGACCTTCAAAGCCAGATTCACTTTACACCTGTGTTACTAGCTTGACAACTGCAATGATTCACTTAACAACTGTGGCAAGAAATGCCTTTGTGACGTGACCATGTTTCACACGTACAACCTTTGCAGCATCCCCGTGATCAGGTGATCGAAATTCAAATGCTTGGTTCGCACTTATGACCGTTGCTGTGTTCCAAAGACATGTGATCAACCTTTTAAAACCTTCTGACATTAATCTGACAAGCAAATTCAATGGGGAAGCCAGGTTCATTTAATAACCATTTTACTAACTTAACAACTGCAGCGATTCACTTAGCAACTGTGGCAAGCGATGTCGTAAAATGGGGAAAATTCACTTAACAAATATTTTGCTTAGCAACAGAAATGTTGAGCAAAATTAAGTCCATAGGTCCTACCTGTACTAGAATGATAACTATCTCTCTGAGCCAAAAATTATCCATACTCCAGATGGGTTTGATTACCGGACATAGAATACAGGCCCATAAATACTGACTGGTTAAAATGTAATTAATTGGAAGCAAGTCATGCAGAATTGCAATCACCGGATTTTTTTTTCCTTTGTTTTCAGTCCTTTTTACTCAGCAACTAGCCTGGTGTTCGAATTTTTTTTAGATAGTATACTTTTCTTTTTCATGTGACGTTTCACCTGATGATCCTGACAGCAGTTTCCATCCTGGGATTTTCTTTAAGAAGGAATTTGTAGGCCAAGTTAACAGTTCTGTCAACAACCTTCACTGGAAATAAATCAGCCAGTTTGGTTTTAGATAAAATAAATGATTTCCTGACTCTGTCTAAACACACTTTTGGTCTTTCCAACGCAAAACAATCTATAGTTACAGAAGAAGCCAGAAACTAATGAACAGCTTTTCCCTCTTCATGAAATGCACCATTTTTCATCAAGCATAAATAGTCCATTAACTTTTACCAAGGTAACAAGGAACATTTCAAATTAAACTACTTAATATGTATAGGGGTTACTGCTCTGTGTGCCTCAAAATTTAATCAGTATTTGTTGTACCTACAGCCAATTTTCTTAGTTTGAAAAAAGATTCTTATCTTTCAATATTAATTTGGGGGAAAAAATAGCTTTTAACAACATGTACAAAAGCGAATGGAGTTCACAAAATGATCCTTGTTCTTAAAACTTTGAGAGTTTTTCTTCTTGTTTTATACTTCTTCCCAGTGATAGGATTCAGCCAGTTCGCACCATTTCAGGAGAACCGGTTGTTAACTTTCTAAGCAGTTTGGTGAACTGGTTGTTGGAAGAAATCATTAGGGCAGAGAACCGGTTGTTAAATTATTTGAATCCCACCACTGCTTCTCCCCCATATCTTCATTGGGAAAAACTGGGGTGGGGGTGGGTGGGATGTACACATTATATAGCCAATCAAAACTTGCATGTGTTTGGCCAAAATAACAGAAAAACATAAAGAAATCTCCCATTTCAATTATTATTTTACCCTATTCCTCATTTTTTACTAACTCCAGTTTTGGAGGCAAGTACTAGAAAAACGATGCTCAAGAAGGAAGATAGAAAATGCTGTGTGATGATGAAATTTTTCCATTATATGGAAATTAAAATACAGAATCTAAAGCAAGGGGGCATTGAATTTGGGACCTTTGGCCCTCCCACTCCATATATTATCCAGCAAACTGGACTGGCAAACTATTCATTCATCAAAATGCAATTTTTCACTGTTTTTTTGTTTTTTTTGTCCAAACAAAATCTATGGAAAACTCTTCAGATGGATTTCATAGAGATAAATATTTTTAAAACCCTCACCTAGGGGGAAAAAATAACCTGGACTCCAAACTATCAATTTACAAGAGAACCAAGCTAGAACTGAGGAGACATTTCTTGACAGTTAAAACAAGTCACCAGTGGAATCGGTTGCTTCCAGAAGCTGTGGGTGCTCCATCACTGGAGGCTTTTGAGAAGAGGTTAGACATTCATTTGACTGAAATGTTACAGGTGTGGGGGCAGGAAGTCAGAGTTGGCTATCTGTCAGGTTTCGATATTGTCTCACATAAAATAAATTGCATTTCCAAACAGATAGTCTTTGAAGAAATCTTTCATTTTATTTAACACAACAATCTGGCCCCGATCATGGCGTAGCCAACTCTGACTTCCTGCCCCCACACCCTCCCTTTCCGTTCCCCAAATCTCTGCGTCTCATTGGCCTTCTTCCAAATCACTCTCCCCATATCTACTACTTAAGTTCCCAGGAATGTCCCCCTCCCTCTCATCTCCTAGGGGATATTATCTTCAAAGAAAATAAGTAGGTGAAGTGTCAAGCATCCTCTTGCCAGCTGCCCCCTCTTCTCCTTCTTATGTCAGCACTAGAGTAAATGCAGGTTGAAGTGCTGACAACAGGGTTTCCTGCTTGAGCAGGGAGTTGGACTAGATGATCTCTTTCAACTCTTTTATTCTGTTATTATCAGGAGGTCATTATAGCAATCCCTGCAAGCAACCACCAAAAGATTGTTTTGTGGTTCTGAAATTGCATTTTCATAAGCAGGGCTGAAGCTTGAAAGTTTGATAAAGTAAAGCAGCTTATAATAATTATAGCTGGGGTTACAATGGCAGCGGTTGATTTATTTTCACTGAAACAAAGCCGTAAGTGAGCACTGTATCTGGAAAAGGTCATCCATTTTTTGGTCCTCTATATCTCTTCCAATCTCTTCAGTCTTCAATCCGTGTTCCTTGGTTTTTCCATTCTCTGTGATGTTCTTACATGCAGCCTAGTCTGGAAACAATAGAAGAAAAAGCACTGGTCCCTGGGAGATGTAGTTTGATATAGAGGAAACAGTGAAAGGGATTTGGCCCTAACCTAGAATAATTTAATGACTGATATATCTATTTCTGTAACCATTACATTAGAAAGACAAACTTGTTTGTACTGAACATAGGGTTCAGTTGCATGACATAGCAAACATTTTGCTAATTATCTTGAGTGTTTAATTCTAGAGGCTCCAAGGAGACTGAAGGATTTCAGGTTTCCTTCCAACTTCCACAAATCTATGTTTTTATGAAGAATGTGTCATATTTTAACATCCTGGTTCAGTGAGTGATCACAGCTGATCTTTCATCAGTCATAGAATATCATAGCAACAGAACTGGCCTCAGAGAACAATCTTTTGAATCCTTGTAAATCTTTGAAGGTTCAAATCGACATCTTCTACCTGCAAAATCATACAGACTCCTATAAGTGGCTGAATTATGGGTGATAAAGTGCAACGTCAACTAAGTTGGGGATGTTATTCCAGATAAAAAGGAGGTACAAACAAAATTGGTCATAACAACATCACTAGGTTATGTCAGAATGTCATCTAAGCCAACATTCAGCATCATCCATAGCCAATCGGATGCATTTCAGTTTCAGTCTTAAACATGAAGGTGACACATATCTTCTATCGTCACTTCCTAGCAGCAAGTACATGCGCTATCCACATTAAGAACATAGTGTACAGCCATTGAAAATCCAGGTCTTTCTGAGTTTGTCTAGCCTCCCTTTTAATCCTCTAGATTGACGATCATTAGAAATTTCAAAAGTAACAAATTCCATCATTTTAATTATTATGTAAAATGAATACTCCTATATTTCATTTTTTCTTATCTGTTGTTTCTCTGGATGAGCCTGATTTCTAACATTGAGAAAAATGTTAGACTAAACTTATCTCTCTATATATTTTGTACTCCATGCAGAATTCTTTAAATTTCTATCATGCCTCTCTTATCTCACTCTGAAAGCTTTTAAAGGTCCACAAGTGTGTCAGTTTTCCTTCTTCAAGAAGTACTCTAAACCCATCACATCCTGCATTTTTTTTTAGCACTTAAAGGCTGTGCCCTGGAGAAATATGATTAACAACAGCTCTTGAGGATTTCAGTAATCCTTGAAGGTGATGCTGAAGACTGAAACTAAGGCTTTTATCATAGCAAAGATGTGCTCTGTAAGTGATCTGTAACCCTTGCTCAAAATCTATATATGCGAGTTTGTGAGTTAGAGTTTGTGTCTATGAATAAAAGAATAAAAGAATGGATTGGAAGGGACCTTGGAGGTCTTCTAGTCCAACCCCCTGCTCAGCTCAGGCAGGAAATCCTATACCATTTCAAACAAATGACTGTCCAATCTTTTTTTTTAAAAAAAACCTCCAGTATTGGAGCACCCACAACTTCAGGAGACAAGTCATTCCACTGACTAATTATTCTGTCAGGAAATTTCTCATTAGTTCTAGGTTGCTTCTTTCCTTGAGTTTCCATCCATTGCTTCTTGTTCTGCCTTCAGGTGCTTTGGAAAATAAGTTGACCCCCCCCTCTTCTTTGTGGCAGCTCCTTAGATGTTAGAACACTGCTATCATGTCTCCCCTAATCCTTCTTTTCATTAAACTAGACATACCCAATTCCTGCAACCATTCTTCATATGTTGTAACCTCCAGTCCCCAATCATCTTTGTTGCTCTTCTCTGTACTCTTTTTAGAATCTCAGCATCTTTTTGTATTGTGGAACCCAAAACTGGATTTAATATTCCAGGTGTGGTCTTACCAAGGCATTATCAAGTGATACTAGCACTTCACGTGATCTTGTTTCTATCCCTCTGTTAATACAATCTAGGACTGCAAATGTATATGACTCCCAAGTCAATATATTTCTAGTGAAATTGATTTCACAATCTCCTGTCCTATTCCAATTTATTATCAGGGGATTTTAAAAGTTATTATTATACTAAAAATGTGTTTCAAGAAGGCATGGGGATCCAGATATGGCAGTTTTATAGCTAATAACTGTGATTCCAAGGATTTTCTGGGAAACTTCCACAACACTTTAAAATCAAGTCTGAAAAAAATAAAGAGTTCTTGGAAGAAGAAAACAAAATTCTGGAGTGTTTTAGGACACAGAGTTGAAGAAAGTTAGGACTGATTGCCCGACATTATCTCTCTCCATTCCTTAAATACCATTAATTAAACCTTATCATCCCACAGAGCACTTAAATCACATTTACCCATATGCATTTTCTCTTTTATGCTTCAGGGTTATATGATTTTTAATCTAACAGTGTATGTATATATATATATATATATATATATATATATATATATATATATATATATATATATATATTTAAAGAAAGTAAGCTTAACACTTTTTTTTACTTTGATATATTGTTTGTGGTAGAACAATCCTTATTCTAATGTATGATTGATAAATGTTTACATTTGAGCACTCTCATGCAGAAGACATTTGATCATCTTGGGGCTTGCTCAACAGATATATAGATGACAGAAGAATACAAGGAGTTCTTGACTTACGACCATAACTGAGTCCTAAGTCAAGGCATCATGTGACCAGATCTGAAATTACCACTTTTTATTATTGTTAAGCAAATGCCATGGTCATTAAATGAAAGCATTTTCCTCAAATGACAATTTATTTTCCAGAAGTAAATGCCGGAAACTGGCAAAAAAAAAAAAAAAAAACCATTGCAGATATCGTGGGATACTTCAAATGGTCATACAGGGGAACCAAGACCCAACAATGCAGTTACATGAAATGGGATGGGGACAATGTAGCTCTGAAAATGGGTCATGTGTAATCCTGGGGAGGTTCATTATAACTTTAAGCAGTTGTTAAGTGACCAGTCATAAGTCAAGGACCACTGTCCTGAGAATAAACCCTCCATCTCCTTTTTTGCACTCATGTCACAAGCACTGAGGCACTAGCCTATGACATCCCTGTTGCCCTGGAAACACCCAGTTTGGGGCAGAATGGTTTTATGTAACACTGGGCAGGAAGTTAGCGAGCCCACGTTGGAGATCCTTTTATGTCTCCAGCAGGAGCTGGAATGAAGGGTGAGAGCTCAACCCTGCCCCACGGCAGCTCTCGGGTCTCAAACGTGGACTCGCTAACTTCCTGCCCAGTGGTTCCATCCACTTGAGCCATTGTGCAAAAACGGCTTTCTCTCTGCTGATTCTTACTTTCTTTCTTGCTGTAAATTGTTACATAAAACCGTTCTCAACCTTCTAAGTAGAGAGTTAAGAATGATTAATGCATACGTGCCAGTGTGGAATGGAGAAACTGTGAACATTCATCTCTTTTCCTTTCGACAATTTCCTCTCCCATGTATCTTTATTCACAACTAAGACTCATTACATCCGATGGGACTTTCTCTGAGGTGATTTGGCAGATTTAATGGAGTGTTCTAAAAAAAAAATGGCTGCTTTGGTAAAAAAGCAGGTAACAAAGGTCAGACCAAAATTGTAGAAGTAGTTAATGTTTTTTTTTCCCCTTTCTCATCTGGGTTAAGGTCATTTTCCTTGTCTAATCCAAAAGTGCAGTTCCCTATGTGATTTAATGGAGAACGTATTTCTATTTTGTAGGCCTCATGGGGGAAATTATCTGAAATGCCTCATGCCGTAACACAGAAGCTCTTAATAAGTCAAAATATGTTGCTATTGTGAATTTAATGAGCATTTCCTCTCCCTGCTGGCATTTTTAGAGGAGAATTTGAATGCTACTCAGGTGGGAAAGCCTGTTTCTGTTATTTTGTTTTTCATGAAATAATAATGTGCAATTATTAAAGAAAAGAAAGGATAGTCCAGGATGATTAGAAAAAGAAATCAACTAAATAAATAAACAGAGGAGGAAAGAGAAGAAAAAGAGACACAGCAACAAGTCACTACAAAGCTCAAATCTTCATGAGGATGTCACCATACTTGGCTGTAATGACCAGGAAAAATTCACGTGTCATAGCCAAAATCTCTGGTTGTGCTATAAACAGAAGTGGTGTTTCTCTAAATTAAAGCACCTGTTGTGGTTTGCATACTGGAGAAAAACCAGAAAGATTATAAGCCACACATTTTGCCTAAGAACACTGAGAAAAGAAAAAGCATTAAAAAAAATCTCAATCAATTTCAGAAAAGATTATTTACTTTTAATAAAAAGAAACTGTGAAATTATCTTGGGTGGAGTATGCATTTATTCAGTTATGAGATAACCAAAGGTCTGCAATAATTTTTCAGTAGAATAAAAGGAGAGGGGAGAGGAGAGGAGAGGAGAGGAGAGGAGAGGAGAGGAAAGGAAAGGAAAGGAAAGGAAAGGAAAGGAAAGGAAAGGAAAGGGAAAGGAAAGGAAAGGGGAAGAGAGGAGAGGAGGGGAGGGGAGGGAAGGGAAGGGAAGGGAAGGGAAGGAGAGGAGGGGAGGGGAGGGGAAGGGAAGGGAAGGGAAGGGAAGGAAAGGAAAGGAAAGGAAAGGAAAGGAAAGGAAAGGAAAGGAAAGGAAAGGAAAGGAAAGGAAAGGAGGAGGAGGGAAGGGAAGGAGAGGAGAGGGGAGGAGGGGAGGGGAGGGGAGGGGAGGGGAAGGGAAGGGAAGGGAAGGGAAGGAAAGGGAAGGGAAGGGAAGGGAAGGGAAGGAAAGGAAAGGGAAGGAAAGGAAAGGAAAGGAAAGGAAAGGAAAGGAAAAGAAAGGAAAGGGAAGGAAAGGAAAGGAAAGGAAAGGAAGGGAAGGGAAGGGAAGGGAAGGGAAGGGAAGGGAAGGGAAGGGAAGGAATTATCATTTCCATCCTTCTTTCTATTAAGTAATTATAATCTTCCCCTCCCTTCTCCTTTAACCATTCTTATCTACAATCTATAAATTTCAGTCTTCCATATAAGGTTTCTACTCTTTTTAAAACATAACGTTTTTTTCCCAATTTGGGTCCTCACATTTCAAGAAAATCCTAACATTGGTATCATGACTGAACTTCTCTATTGTGATTTTTAGATTGTAAACAGTGACAAAATGATGGAAAAAATGTGCAACAGAGAAGGGACCCTCGACCATTTTTTTACCAATGAAGTAATTTCAAAAACACCACCAAGAGAAATTTAATAGACAATCTCAAGCAGCCTAAAACTAAAAAGGGAAACAGAACCTTCCATCACAGGGTATAAAACATTGAGAAATTCAAGACATGGCATCAGTTTCATCTTTGGCGCATTTGTGCCAATGTTTTTCATTGGTACTATGCAATCAAAAGAGAACAGCATGGCTCTAACAATACAACACAGCCCAAGTTAATAAAAATCCTGTCTATGTCAATTTTGGTTGTATTCAGTCCTAAATGTATTCCATCTGTACGTGAAATTAACAAGAAAACATGTGCATCCTTTTTTCTATGTATCTACCCAAATATGTGCAAAAGAATTTG